AGCGGATAGGGAAAGTCAAGCCAAAGAAAGATCAAGTAAACAGTATAATAACAGACACCGTTCTAGAAAATTATCTGATCTAGGGGTAGGAGATTACGTCTGGGTAACTGATTTACGAGTTTACGCAAAAGTTGTTCAAATTTTGGACGAACCTCGATCTTATTTAATCGAGTCTAATTCCGGGATTTTCAGAAGAAATAGATGGCACTTAATACCAGCGCCATATTACACTCAACGACAGTTTACCCCCACGTATACTTCACTTGATAACGACCCATCTGGAAATTATTGTAACAATGATAGTTTCAAGATAACAGAAAGTGCTAAAGTGAATCCGCCAGTGAACAGTGAAATTACAAGTGCTACTGGGAGCATTGCGCCTGGCATATCTGACTTTTGCTCCGCAAAAACGTGTGATTCGCCAAATGTAACTGATGAGGGTTCAAGCCAAAGACCTAGGCGAAATGTACAAAAACCTAGGTATTTGGAAGATTATGTTTGAATGTATTTTCATTTACCGTTTCGTTTAGATTTAGAGTGCTGTTTAAGTTTATAGCTGGAAAAAGGGGGATGTTCTGTTGGTAACTAACTTGGCAACAATGTGATGGAAGTGACGGGTTGCCATGCTAGGGGAGGATCTGAGGTTAGGACAGGAAAAGGGTGAACGCATGGATTCCGGAAGAATACAGTTTATTTTCTCCCCTCAAAAAGGACTTTTATTAAAAGAACCCATTGACATAACACAAGGAATCGCTTGGAGTTGCAAAGGAGGAGAAATGGAGTGATAGTAATAAGAAGTTGATGGAAAAACGAATAAATCTAACAGACAAACATCAAAACAATGTTGAAGAAATATTAAAGGCTATCCGAAGAGATGTGAAGCTACACAAAACAGAGGAAATAACGAGGGTAATAGAGAAAAACAGGGGAATGAAAGTGTTTAGGAAAAAATTGTCAGAGGGTAAGAAGCAATTAAATAAGATAATTGACAAGAAGAACGGACAAACCACCACAAATAAGCGAGATATCCTGCTAATCGTGAGAAGCTTCTATGCGGAACTGGATAAGAAAACTTCAACAACAGAAATTGGCGTAGGCATTCCAGTGATACAAAACCAGGGATCAGAAGACATCCCAGAAATCACTCAAGACGAAATAAACAACTGCTTAAAAAACATGAAAAACAATAAATCGCCAGCCGATGACAAAATGAGCACCGAAAATATAAAACTAGGGGGGTCAGCGCTTCTAAAAATAGTCTCTAAACTATACAATGCTTGTTTAAGAAACTCCATTACGCCTGATCAATGGAATAAGTCCATCATAATACTTTTACACAAGAAAGGAGATATAGCCCAAATAGAAAACCACAGACCAATTATCCTGCTATCGCAGATATATAAGCTTTTTATGAGAATAGTCACAAAAAGGCTGAGAGCTGAATTAGATATTCACCAACATATTGAGCAGGCAGGATTTCGTAAGGGCTATGGCACCAGTGAACATCTTCATCCAATTAAAATCCTTATTGAAAAATGCATAGAGTATAATAAACCGTTAGTTCTCATTTTTGTAGACTATGAAAAAGCCTTTGACACAATAGACCACCATAACATGCTATGTCCCTCGCTGATTGCAGAATCGACCCTCGCAACATCGATATCATTAAGCAATTCTACAAGGGCGCGAATGCCCTTAGACTTCATGAAGACACTCCTGGCTTTCAAATAGAGAGAGGTGTCAGGCCAGGGGATTTCATCTCCCCCAAATTATTTCTCAACCTTTTAGAGTACATGTTCAAACGGACAACATCGAGAACCTTGGCATCAACATTAATGGAGAAAAACTTAGTCACCTACGCTTCGCCAATGATCTGATATTAATTACAAATGACTTCAAAGAAGCGCAAGAAATGATGAGCGAGATGAACCTAGCGTCCAGAGAGGCTGGGATTAAAATCAATATAGGCAAAACAAAGTTCATGACAAATCTAGTTGCCAATGAAAACCTAACAGTGAACAATTTAAACATTGAACAAGTATACTCCTACAAATACTTAGGCCACGAGATTCGATTGGGAAGAGATAATCAAACCTGCGAAATTGGCGGAAGAACAGGTCTTATATGGGCAGCCTTTGGAAAATTGAGCTACATCTTGAGATCTGATATTCCCATGTGTCTTAAGAGGAGAGTCTTCGACCAATGTATTTTACCAGTAGTAACTTACGGAGCCGAAACCCTGACTCTAACAAAGAACACCGCAAACAAAATAAGAGTAGCGCATGAAGCATGGGAGAAGTGGAGTAACAGATGCCGTCACAAGAATATCGACTCTAAAATGGAACTGTGCGGGTCAGCTAGCCCGAATAAGCGACGGCAGATGGACGAGAAAAATAACTGAATGGAGACCGCGAGACCACGCTTTCCGCAGCAGGGGTAGACCGCCCACTCGTTGGACGGATGATCTGAAGCGCATCTAAACCAACTGGTTAAATGCAGCACAGGATAGAGGTAGATGGAAATCTTTACGGGAGGCTTATGCCCAGTAGTGGACGGGTATATAGCTGGGTGATGATGATGAACCAAAACGAGCGACACAGTCATACTATCAACAAGGAGAAAAGGAAAACTACAACCACTCGTCAAGTCTGAAAAAAAAATCAGCCACTCGCGACATCAGACTCGCAATCAGGATGGTCCGAGTACACGGGCTTCAAATCTTGGACATGCCAAATGCCCCTATCGTAAAATTTCATCACTAAAATTCAAACAAGTGAAGAGAAAGCGAAATCGTAAATATCGCATGGCTAATCTTAAAATATCGATTTTCAACGTCAAGCAAATTCAAGCAAAAAAAAATTAATAAATTCAAGAAAAATTCAAATGGTAGATAAATAGTTCAAACCCTGCAATTTTCAGCAAATATAGCCACTAGCTGTCGCAGCAAAGCTAGAACACTCAGCGATGGAATGCTGCCGAAATACCTACTTAATTCTTTTACCGTGATTATACATAGACTGACTAAATGATGTTAAAAAGGAAAAATGGTGAACTTACTCTAGCGAACAAGAAAACGTGGTTTGATGACCACGAGTTACCGTCTGCCAACTGTTTGCCTATACTCTACGTTAATTGCTTAATTAAATGGAAAACAGGAAGTGAATTAACTTAAATCATTACACAAAAAAAATATTGTAATAAAATAAAGAAAAACAGTAATTGACCTGACTATCGCTCGTCCCAATATCAGCTCTATGTTGCCTCGAGAAAATCGCCGACACCTCGTGCTACCAATGCTCAATTTCCAGTTTCATCCAGGCTGTCCCTAGCCATCCAATACACAATTTCAGAAAGCCAGTTGATGATGGGGCTAGGATAATTGCAGCATGTAGAAAAATCTACAACAAAATGGCGACTCGATGGTCAAACTGTGACGATCGTTGAGGAACCGTTCGACCACTCTTTTCGATCGTTGGTACTTGATTTTCCTTCGCTGAGTCATCCTGCTCAATCCATTCCTCGTCCCTTTCCTTCAGTAACGGTCGTCCGCAACGCTGGGGCAAAGTGACGGTGATCGACTATCTTCGGCAATGTCTGGTACTTGATTCCCTTCGCTCGGTGACCCTGCTGGGTCCACTCCTCGTCCCTTCCCATCAATAACGGTGGTCCGTGAAGGTGGGGTAACCACCATGTTGCCAGACAAAACCATGATAAAGACTGCTGATGTTTGGGAGCGAAATACAAATATCCAAACATCAAAATTCAAATAATCCCCTAAATATTACTAACCTAATCTGACAAACATGCTTACTAAATCCAAATTACAAGTGAAAATCGGTTGAAAACAATAGCTTACTACAATTATAACTTTTAACTACACACATTTGAGAACAACGGGTTAGCAGATAGGTGGACCGCTAACTAAATTCTATTTTTGACCGTTACAACGTATCGGTTCTCTTTGATATTGCACTCCACACCAGCACATTCAATAAAACCTTCTTCCAAATATCTCTTTACTTTCTCTTTTCTCTCTCTCTTTTATATCCAGATAGATTGCTGCGCCACCATGCACTCCTTTTCCGCAGAAGCTCGACACCAATTTGAAATTGTGGATTCCGATGTTGACCAATTGATCTTGTTTTCGCCAGTGATCGTACTTCAACGTTGCGTCACAAAACGTGACTTCAGGTAGCAAATGAAGGACGTTTGTAATTATATCTCATGTGTCTCTATCACTCAGGTACAGTTGATTGTTGTTAACAGGTTAGCGAGCTATAAAAAAGGACTCTCATAATAACATATCAATCTAGTAACACTGTATTAAAAGCTGTTATTATTTTATTTCTTTAAAATACTTTAGATACTTGAATAAAGAAGCCCCACGTTTTATAATGTATCAACAAAGTCAGTCTTGTTTTATGAACCACTTTTGTGTGTTATTAATCAGGCCTCAATAGTTAATAAAATGTCAAACAACAATAGACACATAAACACTTCCCTACCTTCCCGTGGCGTTTTGCGTGATCAAACAAGCAGAGTTAGTTACGAGGTGCCCAATGGTTAACACTCATTATCGGACAAAGCACGTTATACGTGACGTACCATTGAAGAAGCGTTGATCAAACTATAGGCATGCATACATGTAGTAAGTATGTTCTTCGAACATGTGATTTATCAAATATTTACTAATCGCAAGTTACTGCACATTTTGATGAAGGATACTTAAATGGGTCAATTTGGATTTGGAAGTCTGAGTGGTGTTAAAGTTTCTTTCCATGTCATTTTATCAAGTATCGTCCGTTTCGATGTTACCAAAATTTGTGTACTGGCGTTGTTTGTCAATCTTTTGCAGATATGCTGGGCATTTTGGATCTCTAGCAGTGTGTGATCTATTACTGAGGTTCACCCGTTTACAATTTGAGCAGCCCAGTGTTTCTGATGAGGATTTACTCTTGATTTGCGCCACATTTACAGGGTGTCCCAAATATGATTATTCATACAACTCACCTTAGTGCAAAAGTTGACGGTTGCCGACATACAGGGCGTCAAACTTACATTTTAGTTTCAGTTTTTCGCTATTCTACTTTAAACGGAGTTTTTTTTCATATTTCAACGAAATTTAGTATACAGGAATTTTCGAGCATCAGAAATCCAAATGTCCCATCAAATTTTGATCAACTTGTAGAAAAAGCCACTTGCGGCGATATCTGGGCAAAAAAATGGTTTAAACTTTTTGATCATCCGGTATTCTGACTTTCAATTGTCAAACTGCAGCAATATAGTTTTTCGGTCTCCAGAAAACATATAAAAGTTCTGTCAAAACTCCTGGGAAATTAGAAAAATTAGTGAATGTTCAATTTACTGATTTTAGCAGTGAAAATGGATGGAATCTCACTTGAACTTAGGCAGCAAAAAATAATGAAAAACGTAAACATCTTTCATCATTTACCTCGGAACTTTTAAATTATTATTATTATTATTATTGACCTAGCGAGATAAATATTGTGACGGAAATGGGCTGGGGTACTCACGTTTGAAATGGAGGGATCAAAATTCATGGTATTTCCTGAATCAGGTATCACCTGTTCTGGAGATTTCGAGAAGCATCTGGGTTACCTGAAGGAATCTATATAAGCGGCGAGGAGAACCAGACAGGGGGAGTGAAGTGACAGGAGCGACCGGGTGCAGAAGAGGTTAAACCCCGCGAGTCTGACGAGCGAGTTTTCCGCCTGTTATTGTTATTTTTTGAGAAATTGACGGTAATTTTGAAGTTAGTTTGTTTCTGTTCCATATTTAAAGTTATACCGAGATGAATAAAAGTTGGAAGCTGAAGAAAGAGTTTGATACTCGGTCATCCACGGTACAATATAACTTCTCACTTGGGAAATGGAGCAAATAATGGTGACTTCTCAGGTTAGTGGTAAAAAAACATAATTAATTGGTAGGATTAGATTTTCTTGTCTGTAAGCAGGTGCTATTTGTTAGAAGTTAAGCTAGGATTTTCATCACATTTTAAGGATAGTTTTTAAATCAGCCAAGACAGTCAGGTTGGTCAGCTGAAATCGTTGAGGCGGATAATTTTTTTGTTACAAACTGCTTGTTGGGTATATCGCTTCAAAAATGTTTGTCTCTAAAAAAGGTAGAATTTCCTCACGTCTGATACAAATACAGACTGCTAAATAGTACTTTTATTTAGCAATAAGAACGAATTATTTATCAAAAAGTAATCAAAAACTATCACCTAGAGAGTATCCTGCGACACAACTAGGCTCAAGCTGTAAGAGAAAATTCCAGTTAGAAAAGAAATTAATTTGAAAAAATTACCTTGACGTTTTGATAGCAATTTTCTGCAATCGTTATTAAAAAAACCTAAAAAAGAGTATGTTAATAAATTGTGTAACAATAGTAGGATACTAATGGGTCTTTCGGGTTTTTAGGCTGTCGTGCGGTAGAATTCCTTCTTGACGTTTCGCAAGCACGAGTGGCTTGCATCTTCAGAAGTGGTTTGGTTGAACGCATACACTGTTCTGAAGCGATTCCTAGGGCGCAGTCCGTATTTATGCACCGGTTGCGATGACGTGGTTTGTCATGACGTGCCTGTGTCATCGGAGCCTGCGCATTCTGTTGCGCTGTTGCAATCCTCCGGTGTACTGGATCCTCTCTCCTGTCCTGAGCTGTTGCTTTTTCTTGCTGTTTTGCGTTGGTGAGTGCTGGAAACCATATCCCGTTTAGCGCCATTGTCTCTTCTTTTCTGTTCAAATTGTCGTCGTGTTTGTAGATTTCAATGCCTTCTCGTATTAGTCGGGGGCGATAGCCTGACGTTATGGTCAGGACCTGACAGAAAGTCTATACTACTTGTGTGAGATTTGATTACTTTTGAATACTCGTACTGACTAGTTACTTTAGGATTCAATCCTCGTTACTTCTGTTCAGTTATTCAAGTACTCAATTTAGTGGTAAGCCTTACGAAAGTCGAAGACCGATATATTTTATTAGTGAGCTTCAGATTTGTTACACGGATACTTTAGTCATACAAACCATATACAGCCCTTGAATTTATCCGATGAATTTATGATTCTCGCAATAGATAGGTATATTTACATCTAAGAATAAAAAATCAGACCATTTTTATGCATTTTTAAATCAGCAGTTAATTGATTCCCTATTGTACTTCCTATTGTCACTGTATACATTGTCCGCTGACATTTTGAACCCCCACGGTCGTTATTACTAGCAGTTTCTAAATAAAATGTCTTTTTGAAACAATTTTTGAAAGCAAGTCATTTAACTCTGTGAAGCAATATGCTACATATCCATAAATAAATTTTGGTACAGCAGTAATATAGTGCGACAATTATCAATTTTAATAAACGTCTTTTTATAAATAAGCAGTTTTGAAATAAGTCACAATTATCATGTTACATTTTATATTATCAATGTTAATGTCAAAATATAATTGAAGTTTACCATCCGGCACCGTGCACGCAGTTTTCATTGATAAGAATCGACCAATGCTGAAAATTACACGCAGTTTTCGGTATCCATCCGTATGGGTCCGGGTCCGGGTACTGATTACTGATTATTAATTATCATTTATTTTAGTTAGTCTGAACGAGTACCCGTATCCATCGGTATATGAATTCGGTACTGGTAGTACAGGATTGGGCTTTGGACTCGAAAGTTAGGATTGATTTTCCGCGATCTGATTACTTGAATACTACGTTTGGTAGTTCGGTATTCGTTACTTCGGATATTGATGAGTAACGAGTACTCGAATACCGATTAGTTACTTCTTTCCCACCACTAGTTTCGCTGCTGTTATTTGTTCGCTGCTGTTATAGGATAGAGTATTTCATTTAGTCTATCCTGATCCACGGGAGGTACATTTTTCGGGTGGTTTAGGTATTCTTCAATTATTTGATCACTATCACCGGCATTGTTGCATATTGATTGAGTTTCCAGAGCGTTTATATCGGTAACGGGGTTTCGCGATAGGGCATCAGCTGCTTGGTTAGATCCTACTTTTTTGTACTTAACTTTGTAGTCGAATTCTTCCAATTTCAATCTCCATCGGACAAGGCGGCTATTGGGTTCTCGCAAAGAGTATACCCATTCTAGTGGTTTGTGGTCGGTCAAAATGGTGAATTTGGAGCCAAATAGTTATGGTCTAAAATATTTACATCCCCACACTACAGCGAGAAGTTCTTTTTCAATTGGGGAATAATTGATTTCTGCTGGGTTCAGAGTGCGCGATGCGTAGCATAAAGGATGTCCATCCTGAGACATTATAGCTCCAATAGCAAAATTCGATGCGTCCGTGTTAAGCTCAAATGGTTTCGTAAATTCTGGATAAGCTAAAACTGGCTCGCTGCTTAAGATAGTTTTGCAAATTTCGAAACAATCGGGAAAGGCTTTGGAGTGAATAACTTTTTGATTCTTTTTGAGGCATTGTGTCATGGGTTTAGTTATTTTGGCGAAATTTTTTATGAATTTTCTGTAGTAGCCTAACAATACTAAAAATGATTTTATGTCTTTTTGATTTTTGGTAAAGGAACGTTAATTGCAGCTATTTTTTTGGGTTTGGTTTTGTTCCTTGTGGAGTGACGATGTGTCCCAGAAATGCAACTTCTTTTCTCAAAAACTCACATTTATCTAGTTGTACTTTGAGACATGCTTCGCGTAATTTGGAAAATACAAGGCTTAAGTTTTGAATGTGTTCTTGGAGTCCTGAGCTAAATATGATGAAATCATCCACGTATACCATACATATTTCATTTTGCAGGTCCTTCAACACTTCGTCCATAACTCGCTGAAATGTCGAAGGTGCGTTCTTTAACCCGAATGGCATGCGCAAGCACTCGTAATGACCATTCTCGACAGTGAAAGCAGTTTTTTCAATAGAATCCTTGGCCATTTCTATTTGATGTAAACCACTTGCGAGATCTAGTGTGGAGAAATATTGTGCTCTGCCTAATTTGTCCAGAATATCCTTGATGTTGGGGATTGGCCAACGGCTATCGATTGTTTTCTGATTAATGTTGCGATAATCCACTACAATCCTCCATTTTTGTTTGTTGGATGCATCAGGCTTTTTTTCGACAATCCAAATTGGTGAACTCCATGGGCTAGTTCAAATACGAATTATACCATTCTCTAACATTTCGTTTTTATGGACGTAAGGATACCTAGAGGATTTACTATGGACCGGAATTTTATCCGTTGTTTTTATTTCGTATTTCACTTTTGATGTAAAATTTAAAATTGAACGGCTGCTTTCCGTACCTATTAGCAACTTTAAATTAAGTGATTTGATTTCTATATAGGGAAGTGCGTTGTTAGATGAAATGTTAATTTCTATCAAGTCGGTGACTTTTCTCGGCTGGCAGCCGGAAAATTTTCGACATTTTCGATTGTTGGTTCAGAAAGTTGGTCATTGGAATAATAGGAAGCTTCGTTAATTTCGTCAACTACTTGATACTCATGTGGGTCAATGGCGAAATTTTCGTCTTGATATTCAGCTGATGGATAGCTGGAGTCATCTGAATATCCTTGAGAAAATAGTTCTTCGGAAATAAAGTTTGGCTTTTGGTTGAAAGTGTTTCTAAATGCATTATTGAAAGGTCTTCACCCATTGGTCGGATTTTGATAAGAAGATCTCATTGTTTGAACGCTAGAGTTACGAGAAATACCTGACATTGGGGTTGGTTTTGGTAGTTGATTTGTTAGAATTTGATTTGGTTTGAAGGCGTTCTGGGGTTTGCCAAATACTTTTTTATTTGTTGGGTATCTTCTAGGGGGTATCATTTGGCTTTGAATMTTTATAGGTTGGCTGGGCCATTTGAATCTTTCTTGATGATTAGGGATACTGTTGAATTGTGGTTTTGAAAATTGGGGGTTTGCAAATTGAGGCAGGTTTTATTGAAATTGGTTATCAGAAAAATTGTTGTTGTGACGGAAGTTATTTGGTTTTGCATGCAAGAAGTCATTGCCTTTAAAAATTTTTTGTTCATTTAATCCTCCATATAGTTTTTCAAAGTTTTCGAATGCATTCACGTATGCCATTGCGCCTTCTAGACTACTGGGTTTCTTCAAATGCATATTATTTTTTAAAATTCCCGTACATCCTGCAACGAATGTATTTAAAGCAGTTTTATCAAAGTGTTTAATCTGATAGAGTTTTTCTTCTGGCCGTAAGGTAGCGTCATTGCTAATGCGTTGAGCGATATTACTTCTCAGCAACTGAAGTCTGCTGCCGAAATTTAGTAAATGTTCTCCTTTGGAAGGACTCGTTCTAGTTAATTCATGTATTAGGCAATCTAGATCTCTGCGATCAGCAAAGCATTGAATTAACGCGTTTTTTTAGACTATTCCAATCATTTAACTCAGTTCAATTACCTACCAGAATTTCTGCTTTGTCAATTAATTTTCCTTGAACTGATTCAAAAATTAACTTGTTTAATTCAGTGTCATTGAGCGCAGCATAACTACTGAAAAGCGACTCGCATTTCCCTAAAAATCTATTTAAAGGGTTGCTATTACCATCAAAAGGTTTGATGAGGTTTAATCGAGATTTCAACATATCCCAGTTCATTTTAGTTTGATTATTTCTATCTTGATTCATGTAAGAAGCTACTGTTTCCTTCTGTACTGATAAGTTTTGAAGTTTATTCACCAATTCTTCAAGTGACTCGTTATCACTTATCATTAACAAACATGTAGCAAAATAAATCCAAATGGTCAAATTCAATTAAAAAAATATTAATCAATGATAAAAATTAAGTCTTCTATACTAATTACGTATAATACGTTGAAATCTATTAATATCCCTATCCAAGACTTAAACGGAGGTTTTCAAGGGGCGAAAGAAAGTGGCACTTACAGTTTGATCTTCTGTAGTCTCCAGGCTTCTTCTCCTGATTCTGCTCTTGGCCTCTGCTGTCGTCGTCCAAAGTTCTGGATTGTACTTAAGGGTAGAAACCCACATAGTTTTTTCCCGCACGATTCGGATAACTACGGCACAATGCTACCGACTGCGCAAATTACGTGTATTAAACGACGAACAGACTTTTTAAAATAGGTTTATTTCTGTACTACAACTAGTTAGCTGAGCATTTAGAGCAAGAATGAATATAATTATTGTTGAACTTAAAAATGTAAACTTGTGTTAAAGTCTTTTGTCAGCAATTCTTACGTTCAGGTGTGAACTGCTGGACCTTGATGACTTCCAGCGGATGATGGCTGCTGTGTCAGCGGTTCCCATGCAGTATCGGCGGATACTACATATGTAACTCGCGGATGACACGGTTTTGTTAGTCTCTAGCTTAGAAGATCTACAGCGGAATTTGAACAGTGTGGTAGTAAAGTGCGACGCAGCTGGCTTAGAACTAAACCTAAAAAGGACCAAAGATTTAGTAATCAGTAAACAGCAGAATATCAGAGCTGATATCAGAGTCAAAGGCATGCGCTTGGAACAAGTTCATCAGTTCAGATACCTAGGCAGCGTTATAACAGAAAATGCAGATAGCCACACAGAAGTAAGATCAAGGATAGAACAAGCACGAAGAGCTTACAGACAAATGAGCAATGTTCTAGGATGCAGGGACCTAAAATTATCCCTACGAATCCGACTGCTTAGATGATACGTATTATCTACATTAGTGTACAGAGTTGAAGCTTGGACCATCAACAAAAATGAAGAAAGTCGGCTTGCAGCGTTCGAGATGTGGGCCTACAGGAGACTGCTAAGAGTCACGTGGTCTGAAAGAATCACCAACGTGGCAATACTACAGCGCTTAAATAAGACCACTGAGATCCTATCCACTATAAAAAAGAGGAAACTAGAGTATTTCGGCCATTTCATGCGAGGAGAAAAGTACAGACTCTTACAAAACATCATGCAGGGTAAAATACATCGCAGCCGCGTACCAGGCAGGAGGAAAACGTCATGGGTGAAAAAGCTGCGCGACTGGTATAAAACGAATTCACACACACCTTTCAGACCTGCCGTGGACAAAGTACGGCTAGCGTTGTTGGTAACCAACGTTCTGAAAGGACACGGTACATGAGAAGAAGAAGAAGTCCAATGTGTAGCCCTTTGCTGGTGTCAGTTCTTACAGCTTCTGCCATGTTACTGTGGCATTTTTCCATAACTAATCGCATATTCGCAGATTCGAAGTTAGTTTCTATTTTGCCAAAGGAGCTTCAAAATAAGCCACAGTTTGACAAATGCTTGTTATTATTGACAAAGGCTGTTATTATTGCCAAAAAACATCATTGCCGCTTTGACTTTTCATCAAAATATTGTAGAAGAGTACTTTTTTAATATATAATTTTAATATTTAATTTTTAATATATCAAAAATGTTCGTAATTTGACAAAAAGATAGTAATTTTTCGTTTAAAATGCTTAAGTATTCAAATAGGCTACCAATCAAACGTCGGACCTTTTCAAAATAATGCTTAATAACAAAGTTGAAATTCGATCTTCAACTGTTAATATATTCTTAAAATTTTGGAAATTTTTTTAAAAATATTTTTCTCGTACTCTCTAAGTGGGCCCCTATATACCCTTAAAAGGAATGACGCCAATTTTGAATCACTCTGTATATAATAGTTGTATTATTATATAATATTACGAAGCCTGCTGAGTTATAAGTTGGGCTCTGTCAACGAAATATCTGCTTAACTAAAATAGACACCCCTGACTGTCAAAAAGGCAATAAGCCAATAAACACAAGTGCTCTCTTGCTTCATCGTTCATTTTGATCAAATTAATTCTCATGGAAATTGAAATGTGGCGGCCAAGTCAAAACCGCAGTACTCAATGCTACAAACATATCCGTCTTTTTCGGAAATATTTGGATTCTAAAAAAAAAATCGATCTTATTGTGGCAATTTATTTATCAGGTTTAGGGCAGTTATTAAAATGACCTAATTATTTCTTGTAATTTTAATAACGTCCGATCATCCGATCTAATTTAAGAATTTTTCTATTGAAGTTTTTGCAAAATCTTCAGCTTCCTCTAAGCTTCTGTTTTCAATCAACTGTAAGCAAAACAGAACATGAGCACATTTGCCTCATAATTGTTTTGAAAATTATTTTGTTCTCCCGATTGTCAAGTCAATATAACGCTTCTGATAAAATATCAGTTGTAAAAGTTACTTCAATTTGATCAATCCATTCTAACGCAAGTAATCTACCTATAATTGGCTGAAATTGAAACCCTTCTTCTTCCTGTATTACACCTAACGTCATCAGCTGGAATAAATCGAATATACCAGGTTATATAATCAACATACTCTCACATACACTCATTTCTAATGTTGCTTAAGCGGATTTTCTAACCCAGTACTTACTGGCTCCCAACTCGAAAAACACTTCTTTTGTATGATGTCTAGCCTGACCCTATGCAGGTCAACTGAAATTTGTAATCAAACATTAACAACGCACTTTGATAATATATACTTACATTGTACACAATTAAATTGTAGATACAAATGAAGCTCATAAATATACTGAAATTGCATATTGTTATATCGCCAAATAACAGAGTGCGCAGTAAACACCAGGCAATCTCCTTTAAGTATCAGTCTGTTATTCTCGACCGCTGCTATCATTAAATAGCTGCATCGTTCTACTCTCCTTCATGACGCAGCACATCAGAAAACTAATTTACCAACATCCAAAGCTAAAGCGTGTGCATCAATTGAAATTCATCTACTTACCGTCTGACATTTTATGTACTTATATGCAATTATTCATGGGCGAAATGTATTGCATGTAGATATGTACCGTGCAGCTCAACAAATATACTGGTTTTCAATTTGAAACCAATATATTGGGACCCAATAATTAACATATGCCAACGTTTTGTTGTTACAATTTCTTATTCGAATTACAACATCCCAGCACAAGAGCAGAAAGTCACTTTGGGAATATCTTATACATAAATCTTAAAATATCATATCATATCATATATCTTAATAGATCATAAAGATTAATTGAAGTTCATATTTGTAAACCAGTTGTTTTCAGATATGAAAGCACCGGCTCGATCTCCAACTTTGAATAAAAAAAGTTGCAAATGCATCAACAGAAGACTAAGTATTTGAGAAAAAGAGATAATTTTTTCCAAATTTGAATTAATCCTCTAAATTTAATTTTTGGACTTCAATGCTACTTATTTTAAACCAAAATAGAAACTAATATTTAAAACGTGATTATCAAAATGCAACAGATTGAGATTAAAAATCGCTATCTGGATGCAACATTTTTGTTGATAGAGAAATATTTATTGATGATATGAAAAGTGAAGTTTAATCTAGTTTCTAAATCTGACACTAATTCTCTACCTACAACGAATTTGCCGTAGACTAATCTTATTTAAGAACTTCTGAAATATCCACTTCAAAAAGTATATTGCGTACTGAAGATACTTTCAGTATGCCAACAATTACGTTTAAATTGTTGCATGATTTCAAGTCAGAGCAGGACTGTTATATTTAAGAAACACCCACGATTTGTTTAAATTTGTCTCTAAATTAATTTCAAAGAAGAGCTATAACGAAAACTATATGTTTACATGGTATATAGGTATACAGATTGATGATAGTGAAATATTATCAAGTTTAAAAGAGGGCGGCTCTCCTAGGATTCCTCGATTTTCGATTTCGAAGTGTATGGTGGCTGGAATTTCAATTTACTGTTTTCTTTTATCTGATAATATATGCAGAACAATACATTATTAAAACTAAATTAACAGGTGCAATATTTCGTTACATGTTGATAGTAGCTATATAAATTTAATTTCTGTTTACTTGCGACAAATTAATACATTCGAATAGTAATCACTACTGCAAGAAGCTTAATGATAACGATTCTATTTGGGATTCCACTATCTAATACTTTAAAAGGTCTTTGACAAGATACGGTTCTGTGCTTAACAATTTATCAGCATTTTGATTACATATATATGTAGCATTCTTCCTGCAGAGAACTATAAATTAATCCGAAGCACCATACTAAGTTGTAATTCTTTCGGGTTAGTTTATAAAAACAACAGTTCCTATTTTTTAGTGAGTGCTAGTGCTTCATAAGGAAAGTTTGTGATAAAAAAGGTAAGTGAAAAAATTATATAATGTTTTTTAATATTTCAAATATTAGATTCAATTATTGCCGAAAACTTTATTATTAATAGTACGAGTAACATAACAAAACAGTCTTTAGGAACTTCTGCGATTTTTTAATATCGTAAAATGGCTACTACGCTATACCGTATATTTGGTCAGACGTTCTAAGAAACTAAAAAAATTGATGGAATGCGTATCGGTAAAACGTAATTTGTTTTTCTAGGATATTAATATGGCTTTGATAATAGCCGTTGGACTGCTATTGTCAATAATTCTATTATATTGTGTGTATTCAAAATGGAAGTTTCAACATTGGACACGAAAAGGAGTTCCCCAACTAAATCCTCGATTATTTTTTGGAGACACTCTTCCTTTGGTTAGAGGCCAAGCATTAAAGGATTTCCACTTGGGTCTTTATCAGAAATTTAAATCAACTGGCGCCAAATGCGTCGGAATCTATAATGCACACATGCCTGAGTTAGTGCCAATTGATATCATTTTACTCAAGGATATTATGGTGAAAGATTATTCATACTTTTCCTCGCATGGAGTGTTCTATCATGAAAAGAATGTACTCACATCTCACTTGTTTAATATTGAGGGGCAATCTTGGAAGGAGCGTCGAACGAAATTGACTCCAGTATTCACTTCAGGTAAGAAAGTACGAAAATGTCTAAGTGTGATATTTTAAGATCTAATTGTATTATCTGATTCGTAAACTATTAGCATTTATGTAATATTTTTTCTACCACTAATCTAAAAAATCCCTATTATTTAATGACCACTAACTAATATTCGCGCCTATTCTAGAGCTGATAGATTAAGCCACTTTTATTCGGATCAATTATGTTTGAAAATCACATAACATATTTGCGCCATTTTCTGAATTACGCCACTTCTCCTTACTCCATTTCATTAATGAGAAGTCATATTTCCCTACAACTGTACTTATTAATTTGAAACTTTCCATTTAAAAACCAATTTTGTTCCAAATTATTACAAATTTTACATGTGACCGAACTTAACTATGACTTTGTTGGACTCTTTATCCTTATAACCGTTCGTCCTTATGACCAGTTTATATACATATTTTTTGATGTAACTTGATAACATTCTCCATAAAGAATAAATAAGTTTAAATAATTTTCATTTTATAATTTAGGCGTACCCGGCATGATTATTAATTATTTTCAAAAAGTAACTGACAGCTGTCAGCATTCCTTTGTCATTTGATTGAATCTAAAATGACCACATTTGTCATGGCAACTAAGAGGGCCAAAATTTAAATAAAGATGCTGCAAATTAGCCATTTCAAAACATTAAATTGACAATCTCGGAACATCAATATCAGAATATCAGAATAGACAACCTGACACAAACTTACAGTCATTTTTAATACTGGAAAAATTCCGGTAGAAAAAAATAGATTTTGGCCGGTTTTCTCAACGTCATTTTGCAACTTATTTTTTTTACAATTTGCTCATACTTCCTTGTAGGTGAAATTAATAATTATTCGAGTAGCTGCAACTGTCATTTTTTACTTAAAATTTTAAATATATCAAAAACGGTTAGACTTAGGTATAAGATATTATAAATGAAATATATTCAGAATCTGAAGAATAATTCAAAAATGTAATAATATATAGAGACAGAAACAAAACAACAGAAGTAATGTAATTCTGAAAATATTTAAGGCCGCGTGGCTCCAATGGCTGCGGCACACTATCCAGTTTTCAAATTTCTCTTAATTACAGTTTGCCACATATCGATCGTCTTTAGTATATCATTATACTTACGTTTTACATCCGACATCTTGAGATCATGTACTTTATAATATGACTAGCTTCGAGCACTAGCACCAATGTATTTGCGTTAATATTACCACTTGGGTAATAATTTGATACTTTATATGGTATTGTATCTCAACATAAGTCATACTTAATTTATTTTTAGCGAAAATGAAGCAAATGTTTGACACAGTGGCTAGTAAAAGCCCTGGATTGGTTCGACTGGTTGGCTTGTCAGCCGATGCAAACAAACCTGCCGACATTAAAGAAATTCTTTCGAGATTTACAACTGATGTCATTTCGGGGGCAGCATTTGGACTTGAGTGCAAATCTTTGTATGAGCCAGATAACATGTTTCGGTATTATAATTAATAACTTTCCTTAAATGGATTATAGAAACCGTCTTCTTTTCAGGGCCATTGGAAAAGAGGCTTTTGAGCCTAATGCCCTTAAGCTATATATAGAGTATTTATTTCCTAGACAATTGTTAGGAAGCATAGGATATCAAACATTCTCAAGTCGTATTGTGTCCTATTTCTCAAGTATGAACAATATTTATTACAAAAAATAAAACACCTCCTTGAAAATTTATTTTATTACAGAAGTTGTAAATGAAACTATTCAATACAGAGAAAAAAATAACGTTCAGCGAAATGACTTCATGCAGCTTATGCTGCAGCTGAAGCAGCACGGATCACTCGTGAAAGAAGATGGTTCCGTTGACGTAAAAAGTACCTATCAATATCCAAAATCATGTTGTTTGAAATATGTCTTAATTTTTTGCATTTAAATTTATTCTGAGTTTTGCCAATTTTAGAAACGGAAACACAGATCACCGACAGAGAAATTTTGAGCGAATCTTTCTTAATGTTCCTGGCCGGACATGAAACATCTTCAAGTACATCGACTTTTGCTTTATTTGCTCTTTCCCAAAATCAAGATATTCAAGAAAAAGTCCGGAATGAGATTAATGAGGTATTGGAAAGACACAATGGAAAGCTCGGCTACGACGCTCTAATGGAGATGGAGTATCTTGACAAAGTAATAAGAGGTAATTAATTTATTAATTGTTGCAATTATGACATTAACTAGATCAGTTACAAACCATAAGTTTTTGTCTCCAAGGCGTCTTTAAAAACGTATTTATAGCAAATACTTTATTTTTAGAAACCCTTCGTAAATATCCGACTGTGCCAGTTATACCTAGGCGGTGCACCAAAGACTACCAAATCAAAAATACTAATACAGTCATTGACAAAGGTTAGTATTGATTCCGTCTGTTCTTGATAAAGAATTTTGAAAGAAACAATTTTGACTTAGGTACTTACCTGAACGTCTTATTTTAGGAACCCGACTGTACATTCCAGTAATTGGTGTACATCTAGATCCCGAGTACTATCCCGATCCAGAAAGATTTGACCCTGAAAGATTCAGTCCGGAAAACAAGGCCAAACGACCGGACATTGCTTGGATGCCATTTGGCGAAGGACCTAGGCAATGCTTAGGTAAAGTGTTGACAAATTAGTTTCTTAATATGCTTCCGAAAATCAACCACTGCGCTTCAAAAAAAGTTTAAACTATTTCAATATAAGTCATTGAGTTTAACTAAACATACGTGGTTTTGATTAATCTCATTAAAAATTAAACTTACTGTGGATATGAGCTTATCAGGATGTCGACTTAATATTCGTTTATCCCTAGTACCTACCTTTTATTATTACAAAATGAAGCTTGTTTACAAGCCATGCAAGGTTCCAAAATTATTTTACCTAATAATTATTTACTTTGTAGGAATGAGATTTGGGTTGCTGCAGAGCAAAGTTGCCTTAGCGTCTCTCTTGCCGACATTCAGATTTACGATAAATAAAGCTATGAAGCCGCCATACATAGCTGACGCCGGTACCCTCGTGTACATGTTCAAGCAGGATGTGCTTTTAGACGCTACTAGAATAAACTAGAATAACTATATTTAAGTGTTGTTGTAAGGATATTCAGGGCAAAATGGTATCTAATCCTGTTGGTGAAGCTAATTTAAAATAAATTGTAGATATTTTGTTAATAATCCTTTAATTATACTGCGCTTATATCCATATTTATTGATCATATCTGGTTCTTTTGGCTAACAGGCTTCTCGTATAAAATTATCACATTGTTTAGCTATATAACAACAATGTCAGTTAATGATTGTATTTTGGGTATAAATGTCGCAAATATAGAGACGCATGAATTGAGCGAGACTTTTTTATATTTTTTTCTAATTCATGACGCTAAAATGAACTCAAAGTTTTAAATAGATTTTAGAGAACTGTCGCTCCCACGACTTGTTCGTATTCTGTCACATATTCTCTAATTGAATATTTGTTGGATTATGAAGCTGAGTTGCTGATTCTTGCAAGTAATCAATATAGTAACATATTTTTTTCAAGGTTCAGGACATTTTTACATTTAATGAAAAAGTCTGTAGAATACAGGAAACGCTTGATTGTCATTTATTCTTGTGGGGTTGAGGGCGTACCTCTGCTCATAGAAACGGCAGTGTTGGTCAGAAATAACTCGAGTTGGTCTACGTGACTCGAGGTGTACGGTCGACAGCGTGCTGCGTTCGCGAAGTGCTTTGTTGGTTAGGAGTGCTCAGAGTGATTTTAGTGTGACCATGTGTCTTGCTTAGTTGTACCATTGTGCTTCTCAGCGCGATTCTATAATTTAGTGCTGTGTATACACGGCTGATTTTCTGTGGTGTTGCAGGTTTGGGGAAACCGCATGCCGCCGCTCACAGCCGAGGATGTTGTGGGAAGGTTTGAGGCACTGGAGTCCAGACTGGGGGCCACCTTAGAGGAGCTTAAGTGCTCCAATGAAAAGGTGGCTTACTGGATGGAACCTGCAGAAAGAGCTGAAAAGCTCTTGAAGCCCAGTTGCCAGGAACCAGGCAGTGAGGAGTGCGGCAGTGAGAGCGAGGCGGCCGAGGGACCCGCTGAGGCGGCGACTCCCCCGGCAGCCCCCAAGGAGGGCCAGGGCCCGGTAACGGACTCTTCCGACGGCAAGGGTTTTGAAACCCAAAGTCGCCGACGGAAGAGAAAGCGGACCCGGCCCATGTCCTCCAGCGAGGAGGAAAGTAATAAGATTGACTCTTTGTCCACAGGAGTCAACAAGAGAGACCCCGGAAGAGCAGCCCAGCCAAGGATAAGAAAAAGCAGGCCACCCCTGCCGCCCAGCAGCAACCGGAAAGGAGGACAAAGATTCCTCCAATTATACTCCGTCAAAAAGACAAGTACGACGAAATAACCAAGCGGCTCAATGATAAAAGAGTAAGCTATGGCTGCGGTGTGACAACGAAGGAGGGTGTCAGAACGCACCCAACAATAAAAGACTACAGGGCAATGATTCGGGTACTGGACCAACACAATTACCAGTACCACACATACCAGCTTGAGGAGGAAAAGCAGCTCCGAGTAGTTATACGAGGAGTGGTAGAATCATGGACAGAGCCCAAA